GAGGTGCCTGTGATCCCTGATCCGTGCTGGCAGCAGGAGCGCTGGCCTGTGAAGGTCCTGTGTGCTTCCAGCCGTGCACGGATGCTCTGCACTGCCCTGCTCCGCACGCAGGGCTCAGGGGCTGGGCCGGGGGTGTCTGGGCTGGGGAGGGGTCTCTGTGCTGGGAAGGGATCTCTGTGATGGGGAGGTCTCTGTGTTGGGGGGGTCTCTGAACCAGGAGGGGTCTCTGTGCCAGGGGGTTCTTTGTGCCAGGGGGAGTCTCTGTGCCAGGGGGGTCTCTATGCCAGGGGAAGGGGTCACTGTGCTGGGAAGGGTTCTTTGTGCCAGGGGTTCTCTGTACCAGGGGGTTCTCCATGCCAGAGGGGTCTCTGTGCCAGGAGGTCTCTGTGCTGGGGTCTCTCTGTGCCATGGGGGTCTCTGTGTTGGGGAGTTCTTTGTGCCAGGGGGGCCTCTATGCCAGGGGAAGGGGTCTCTGTGCCAGGGGCTCTCTGTGCTGGGGAGGGTTCTCTATGCCTGAGGGATCTCTGTGCCAGGGGGTCTCTATGCCAGGGGGTCTCTGTGCTGGGGAGGGTTGTCTCTGTCAGGGTGTCTCTGTGCCACCAGCACTGGCCACCCCACAGTAACCCGTGCCCTTGTGGCCTCTGCTCTGCCCACAGCACGCGCTGAAGATGTCGGAACCAGCCTCTACTTTGTGAACGACTCCCTGCAGCAGGTGACCTTCTCCAGCACAGTGGGGGTGGTGATCCCCTGCCCGGCAGCAGGGTCACCCAGCGCTGTCCTCCGCTGGTACCTGGCCACAGGTGACGACATCTACGATGTGCCCCACATCCGGCACGTCCATGCCAATGGGACTTTGCAGCTCTACCCCTTCTCGCCATCAGCCTTCAACAGCTTCATCCACGACAACGACTACTTCTGCACCGCGGAGAACTCGGCTGGCAAAATCAGGAGCCCCAACATCCGTGTTAAAGCAGGTGGGAGCTGCCTGTGGGCACCGGGCTGGGCACCAGGGGCTGGTTCCTCCCTGCTCTGCTCCATCAGGGGCACAGCCAGGGCTGCTGCCTTGGTTCCTGCAAAAGGATGGAGCAGGGAGAAGGGCAGACCACGGGCTGGGATGTGCAGAGTGGGATGCGCAGGGTGGGATGCGCAGGGTGGGATGCACAGTGGGGAGCAGGCCTGGGGCTGCAGGAGCAGCTGAAGGAGCAAAGTGCTTCACCTGCAGGGGATCACCTGTTCTCCTGGTGGCTCTTGCTGGTGGCTGTGCCCCCTGAGTGCAGCCGAGGTGCTGACCCAGCACAGCCCAGTGTCTGCAGGTGTCTGGGCTGGTGGTACCCGGGCAGGCACCCTTTGGCAGGGCACAGACGGGCACCGCGCCCTTGCCAGGCTGTCTGTGGATGTGGAACACGAGGAGGTGGATTGGAGGTGCCCAGTGAGTGTCTGGGGAACGTGGTGTGGCTGCAGCCTGGTGGCAGGAGAGTTCCTCTCCCTCTGAACCGGGATTGTCTGGCCCAACCCCTTATCGAGGCTCTTCCCAGCTGTGAGAGGGGCTGGGCCACATCTGTCCATACAGGGGGCCCCCTCAGTGTCCCACAGCCTGGTTCCCACTCAGCCTTAGCTTGCCAAGGCTTAATAAGAACCAAAAAAATTAAATAAATAATAAAAAATAGGAGGAATATGGCAAAGAGCTGATTCCAAAAGCCATTATAGTAAATTATTGACCAGGCTGAGGAGGGCTAATAGCCCAGGAATGGCTTCATTATGTAACCTATTAAAAGTGGGGCTAGCAGAGGGAACGTGACAGAAGTGACTACAGGGTTTTTTATTTTAATACCTTGTACTGTGGAGTAAATTGGTATTAACCCCCTTCTGCAGAGTGAATTATTTACCAGCACTCTCGGGTTACCTATAAACCACAGCATGGTGGAGGAGCAGATGGGGTGTAGTAAATGTGGAGCTGCTGCTCTCCTCGTGTGGGCACGGCAGGGCTGGCTCTGCTGGGATCACACAGAGCTGCTCTGGGATCACAGAGAGGGAATTCTGGCTGGGATCACAGAGGGAATCCTGGCTGGGATCCCTCAGAGCTGTCCTGGGATCACAGAGAGGGGATCCTGGCTCTCACCCCCTCTCCACCCAGGGCAGAATGAGCCCTGCTGCTGGGCTGGGAGCTCAGCCTCCCCCTCATTAGCAGATGTGGGTGTCCAGTGGGGCCACCAGGATGGCTCCAGCTCCCGGAGCTGCTCTGCCTTTTCTGGCAGGGGAAATGGCTGTGGAGCATTCCCCAGCTGCTGCTGCCTCCTGGCCATCCCACATCCCAGTCACTCTCCAGTGCTTCCTAATGGCAGCGCAGCACAGGGAGCCAATTACAGCTGGAGAAAGCAGGCAATAAAATAAAACGCACTGGAAACTGAAATATGGAAATATTTCTGAAACTGAAAATATGAGGGGAAAAAAATCTCTGAAAGTCTTGGGCAAGCTGTTGGCGAGCACATGGAGCAAATTTCTCCAGCCAGGGGAGAGGTTTAGGTGGGCTGGTTGTGGCTGTGTGTTGATCTCCTGGGGGTTATTCCTGCAGGCAGGAGAAGCCTGGGGCTGGCACAGCTCAGGGATGTGGTGGGGCTGTCCCCAGCTGGGTGCTCGTGGTGGCAGGGAGCATTCAGAATGTTCCTGTGCTCCCTGCTGGCCTTTAAAGCCTGTGAATAAACCTCAGCTCCAGGTGATTAAGGAAGCTTTTGCCGGTTAATCAGCTTTGGCTCTGCAGCCCCTTTCCGTGGCACATCCCTGAGCAGGGACCCTGAAAGCCCAGAACCCAGGGTGGGGATGCTGCCACCCCCTCACTGCTCTGTGAGGTGTGGGATGCAGTGTCCACAGGGACATCCCACCCAGGGAAAACACCTTGCTGCTGGGGAGGAGGGCTTTCCTTCCTGCTGGGGCTGCTGAGGGCCTTGCTGAGCTGCTCCTGCTCTGGCCAGCTGTCAGATGACAAAGTGAATGTGTGTTTGTCATTGTGCCAATCGTCTCCATGTCCTACAGGGCACAATGTTTGTCACTGTAAAAAGAGAGCTGCCTTCAACTGCATTTTGTGCTTAAATTTCAGGGGTTTGTGGTGGCTGTGTTGCTGGGGTTGGTGGCATCTCTTTGTCTTGCTGGAGAGGGTGAGGAGGGTCCCTCTCACCCATGGGGGCTCCTGGAGTGCTGCTGCTGGTCCAGGGAGCAGCACGGAGCTGTCAAAGGGGTGTGCACCTTCCTGAGAAACAGAGCAATGCTGGGAACATGGAAAATTGTCATTGCTTGCCTCAAACGTCCCTGCAGTGTCTTTAGGGTGGTCCCAGGCTCTGTGCCACGGGCTGTCCCTCCCAGGATGCATTTTCAGCATCCAGGGGTGAAATGCACATCACAACCACAAAATGTCATCAGTCCCCACGCTGAGTCTGGCACGCTCAGGTGACACTGGGGACAGTGGCAGGTGCCAGCAGCAGGACCTGGCCAGGTGTGCCTCTGTCCCACGGCCAGCAGAGAATCCCCTCCTTCCATCCCCGGGAAGGTGCTGGGGAAGGAGGCTGCGTGTGGCTGGGTGGGTTGGTTTGTTTGGGAAACGTGGGATTCTAGCAAAAGGAAGTGTGTTTTCCTGCAGCACTGTCACGCTACCAACCATCTGCTCTCCCCCACAGTTTTCAGGGAGCCGTACACCGTTCGGGTGGAGGACCAAAGGTCGATGCGTGGAAACGTGGCTGTTTTCAAGTGCCTCATCCCCTCCTCAGTGCAGGAATACGTTAGCGTTGTGTCCTGGGAGAAAGACACCGTTTCTATCGTCCCAGGTAAGAGAGGAGCGCCTGTTCTCTGGAAATCCGACCTGCTCTGCCATGGGGACGTTTGCTGTCGTGGAGGCTCTGGTTTTTGGAGGGTCTGGTTTCTGGCTTGTTGTCTGTGCCTGTGCTGCCCAGCAAAGGCTTTCGGGGGTGATTTGGCAGCTCCAGGCTGGGAAGTGCTGCTGGTGTGAGCACAGTAAGGTGCCCAGGCTCTGTGGGTGCTCTGGCCGTGTGTCCCTGGGGTGAGGGATGCTCAGTGTGGTTTTGGCAGCACTCGTGTCCTGTCCTGGTCTCTGCAGGGTGTGTTGGGTACCTGGCACTGGCGCCTGGATAACAGCACCTGCCCGTGCTGCCTATGTCTGAGTGCTGCAGCCAGGGCTGCTGTTTGTCCTGTCATGGTGATGCTCCAGTCAAAATTCCACCTTTTCTTGTCAGTTTTCACTGATTCAACCATGGGGAAAGGAGCTCGGTCAAAACACCATCACCTCCCTGTTCCCTGTGATGGAACCTGCTTGGCCAGCCTGTGCCATGTCCCTGCCTTGTGCCAGGGCTGTGTCCCACCCCGAGCTGCCTTCCCTGTGTGGGGAAGGGACAGCATCCCCCGCCTAAGGGACTCTGCAGGCCCAGCTGGTTTTCCCTGGGTGTTTACCTGTGATTTTTTGGCAGCTGTTCCTGCCTGGCTGTGGCAGGCTCAGGCCAGCTCCGTGTCCCCGTGCCCCGGGGTGACCTCGTGGCTCCTCCACGGAGCCGCTGTCGATGCACACACAGCGTGTGTGAGCTGCTGCTGGAGCAATCAATACCTGCGTCCCCCGGGGCACCCGCAGGGAATTAAAGGATTTGGCCCAAAGTGAGTGCTCTGCGCTTGATATTTGCTCACAGGTCAGAAAGTCTCAGTGCTGCTCCACATCTCAATGCTGCCATCAGGAGCAGGGCTGGGGCTGCAGGAGGAGCTGAAGGAGCAAAGTGCTTCACCTGGAGGGGGTTACCTGTTCTTCTGGTGGCTCTTGCTGGTGGCTGTGCCCCCTGAGTGCAGCCAAGGTGCTGACCCAGCACAGCCCAGTGTCTGCAGGTGCCTGGGCTGGTGGTACCTGGGCAGGCACCCAGGGGACAGATGGGCACCGTGCCCTTGCCCGCCTGTTGTGGATGTGGGAACACGAGGTGGATTTCTGTGTGGTGAGTGGGAACAAGGAGCTGGTGGTGCCCATTCCCTGAGGTGTTCTTAATGCATTCTGGGCAGTGCAGGTGATGCTCTGTGAGAACAACGAGGTGGATTTCTGTGTGGAGTGTGGCAATGAGGAGGAGTTGGCAGTGCCCATCCCCTGGGGTTCTCTTGGTGCATTTTGGGCAGTGCAGGCGATGCTCTTTGGGAACACGAGGTGGATTTCTGTGTGCCCATCCCCTGGGGTGCCCTTGGTTCATTTTGGGCAGTGCAGGTGATGCTCTGCCCGCTGTGGGTGCTGCCTTTGGTGGGTGGCACTCCAGGTCCATCAGCAGGACAGCCTGGGCTGATGTTTGCTCTGGGATTTGGGATCCTTTGCTCTGGGATTTGGGATCCTTATCTCTGGGATTCTGGAGGATGGAGCCCATGTGGCCAGCACCCTCAGTGGTGGATTTGCCAACTGAGCATCCCTGCACTCGCGTGATCCCAACCAGGCTTGCTCCCCAGTTTGCTGTGGCAGTGGATTTTTTAATATGATGATTTAATTAGGGTGGAACGATTTTAACATTCTAAAGCAATAATTACCCTAAAGACAGAACATATAAATTGTGTTACAGTGCAGAGTCAACACAAGCAAACATGTTTTGCCGTTGGATTACAAATATAGTATCTGCCTGAAGCTTTTTTTTTTGTTGTTGCTGGTGTGTTAGAGCTAAAAGTGGCTTTGCTGTTACCAAAAATATGTTTTTCCCTGACCTCTGCTGAACCTCTGCGTCTGCCCTGATTCTGAGCGAGGAGGATGAGGGGAGGGGACGGGCTGGAGGTGAGGAGGGCTGGGATGTGCTGCAGAGCCCTGCTGCTCTCAGAGATGGGTTCTGGGTGAGACTCTGGGTGTGCAAGGGCAGCACCACTGCACCTGAGCTCTGAGTGTGCTCACAGCTGCCTCTGGAATGGGCCAGACCTGCTGCTTTCCCCAGAACTTTGCTCTGGTGCTACCTGTGGAGGGCTGGGCATCCTCCCAGCAGGGCAGGAACAGTGCTGATGTGCAGAGCAGGGAAAATCTCCATCCGCGCTTCTTGGTGGCACAAAGCTCGTTTTAAGTGACTATTGTAATAGGAAATGTGTTTTCCCCAACCAAACCAAGACACCTGCAGCTGAGAAACAGGGGCACAAGTGTTTCCCCAAGGCTGCTCCTGTGAACTCAATCTCTGCCTCCGCATGTGGCTGAGGGGAAATTTTTGTGAGCTTTCTCGGGTTCTAGGAAGAAATTCTGCTCTGGCACAGGGTGCCCAGAGCAGCTGTGGCTGCCCCTGCATCCCTGGCAGGGTCCAAGGCCAGCTTGGAGCAGCCTGGGACTATGGAAAGTGTCCCTGCCCATGGCAGGGGGAAGAACAAGGTGGACTTTAAGTTCTCTTACAACACAAATTGTTCTTTAATTCAATATCTGAATAATCTTTTCTTTTCCTTAATTGGGATTACACGGCTCCCAACCTCTGACATTTTTTCAGACGTCACTGCTCTTTTGGTGGGTGCAGAACCTTTTGGTGGTGCCCTGCTGGTGAGATCCCAGCTGGAGAGAGCTGCCTCCCTCCCTGGGATGTGTGTGATGAGTTTTGCTGTTTGGTTAACTCGGCAACGCCGTAACAGACCCTGAAATCAGAGATAAACTCTTTATGGCAGGTTATCCCGCACGTAAATCATCATTAGCGCAGCTCATTTTTGTTTAGTGCCCACCTGACTCTGCTGCTGTGTGTTTAGAGAAGCCAAGGGTTGCGGGGAAATTACAGGCTGCTCAAAAACCCATTTGCCTCGCTGGTGCTCACATCAGAATCAATCTTGCCACGTGCTCCAGCCTTGCCACAGCCACAGGGCTCTGCTGCTGTGCCTGGGAGGGCAGTCCTGGTGACAGGGGGACAGTCACACCTCGGATCCGCTGCTCCTGGTGTGTGCTGGAGGGGCTGGATGGAGCCCAGCAGCTGAGCAGGGAGTTTCACACCCCACTCACCGCTCTGCCATGGGGTGAGAGTGAGAAAATCCTGCTGCAAGCTGCTTCAGGACTCTGCGCTGTAAACAGCTCTTCTTTTGTGATTTTGCTGTGATTTCCTGTGGCAGTAGTGGCAGTGTGGAGCCCAGGTGTGTGTGGGGGTGCCTGTCCAGCTGCAGTTTGCAAACACAACGTGGGGAGCTGCTGGTGACCCCACCAAGTGGGTTTGAGCAATTTCAGCCCCTCCTCAGCTGTTCCAGGTACTCATTTGGGCACTGCTTGGCTGCAGTTTGCAGAAACAATGCAGGGAGCTGCTGGTGACCCCACAAAGTGGGTTTGGGCAATCTCAGCCCCTCCTCAGCTGTTCAAGGTGCTCATTTGGGCACTGCTTGGCTTTTACAGCCCTCTGAGCACACACGTGCCCATGGGCTCGCACCCAAACCATCCCCAGCTGGCTCAGGGATGTCGCTGTGCCCAGTTTTGCCTTGTTTAGGGATATCCCTGTGCCCAGGGATATTCCTGTGCCTTGCTGGGCACAAATGCCACCTCTGCATGCTTTGCCAGTGGGGCACACATCTCTGTGGCCGGTGAGGGCACTGGGGTTTGGAGCAGTGAGCATTACCAGCCTGGCAAACCCCGAGCTGAGCTGTTATTTGCTGCCTCAGTGCTGTGTACTCGATAGGGGAAAAATCTAAATAGAGCACTTGTCAAGGTAGCAGCGTTTCTGAGGGTGCTGCTGCCTTTGTCACCAGCCTAACACAAATCCTCTGAGGGCTGTGCAGATGAGGATGTACTTAGTCACTGGTTATCCACAAAGCCTTTTCTCTGGAAAGCAAAACGTGAAGCTTGCCAGAAGGAAGGAGCTAAAAAAAAAAAAAAAATTTAAAAAAAAAATGAGTTCTGTGAAGTTTTAGACATGTTTTGGTGTGTGCTGTGGGCTGAGCCTTTCAGGAGTTTCCAAAATATCTCTGCCTGAGTGAATCTGTTTGTGGTGCTGCAGCTGTGAGCTGTGCCTGCCCTGTCTGTCCCATTCTCAGATGTCCCCAGGGCTGGCTGGGGACACTTTCTGGGGTCCTGAAACTCCCCTGAGCAGCCCCTTGGTGGTTGGGCAGTGAAGGGACAGCAGCTCTGCACGGTTCCATGGGATCAATGCCCCCACAATGTTTTCTGTGCTCTGCTGCACCTGGCCAGTGCTGCTCTGCATTTCTCTGAGATTACAGAGATGGAACTGCACAGAAACCCCACTGTAATCCATCCCAGGGCTGGTGAGAGTCCAGGATCAGGCAGGAGGCTGCATTTCTGGAGGTTCTGTGATTTATTTCTGGGATTTCTGGGCACAGCATTCCCCCTGGGCGGGTGCTGCGTGCCCAGGGACACGGCGGGATGAGCCATGGGGATAATCCAGCATTGTCCTTGTGTCAATGGGCTCATTCTGGGGCACACCAGGCTCCTGTTCCTGGGGAGGAGCTGGGACAGAATAAACACTCCCTTGCCAGAACCTTTCCCCTGTCAGGACCTTTCCTCTGTCAGAACCTTTCCCCTGTCAGAACCTTTCCCCTCTCAGAACCTTTCCCCTGTTGTCAGAACTTTTCTCCTGCCTGAACCTTTCCCCTGCCAGGACCTTTCCCCTGTCAGGACCTTTCCCCTGTCAGAACCTTTCCCCTGCCAGGACCTTTCCCCTGCCAGGACCTGTCCCCTGCCGGCCTGCAGATCTCCAAAGGTGCCCTGGCTTCTCCCCCATCCTTGCCACCCTCTCTGGCTGCGACATGTGCCCAGACCTGTTACAGAGGGAAGTAGCTCCAGGCGTTATTCTCACCAAGTGGGGTGAGATTCTGTCTGAAATCATTTCATCCTTCCCCAGAGACTTGGCGTGAATTTTATCTAATCGCCATGGCAACAGATAAAAAAAGGTGTGAGCACATCTCCTTTTGCTGTGATAATTCAGATTTATATATTCAGATCAGATTGGAGTTAGAGATTTTAAAAGGAGCAGATGCAGCAGAAGGTGTGACTGCAAATAATGTGGCGAGAACGTTTGATGATCCTGCCCTTTAAGAGGGGAG